ACATTGTTACATTTATGTCAGTTTGTGTAAATTAACTGTTTCAGTGTGTAAATTAGCCTTTATACATTTAGCTTTCATGTCCATTTTAAAAAATCTCTCTAATACTCTGTTTTGTTCATGACTGTTATTTGATGTAAACTGTTGTCCACAGCGATTAAATGGACAATATTGAGACAGACAAAGGCAGACAAAGACAGTACCATATATCTTTCCTTTTACCTGAATAACCTGGTGTATTCCAATAATCTCCTGAAGTTTCCCAATAATCTGCTGTAGTCCACCAATAACGAGCAGCGTCGCCACGATCTACACCTGATGGATAATGACATAAAGATAACATCAATTTCAGACTACAAATGCAGCACCGACAAGCCATCAACTTGCAAATGTTGTTGAAAATAACAAATGACAAAATAACAAATTTGCTTGAAAATCCAAAAAGAAAAAAAGCATGATAAGAAACGAATGGAAAGTACCTTGCACCTGATGTGTGATGAGCACACCACAAAGGAACAAGAGAGTCCACATGTTTGTATTCGTTCGCCTTCCAATTTGTCAGAGGTACTGAGCATTGCAGCTTATATACTCAGCAGCCGACTCAGAGACTTTGTTTTAGCACCTACAAAATTACTGATATCACCAAATGTTTAGTGAGATTACCCATTAATCCTGTCCATGAGAACCACACACTTGTTTAATTATAATAAAAGGTGTGCAAATATTTTTCGGTCTAGTTTTAGGATATGTTTTAATGTATTTGCTTAAGATATACATGAGAGTTTTGGGAACTTGATAATAAAGCTGAGGCTTTTTTTCTAATATCAACTTCAATAACATCAGTGTTTGCTGAATAACTGTTATAAAGGTGTAACTATTTTCAAATTTGGATTCTAGGGAAGGAGCTGAGTAAATCTGGAGGGGTTTTTCACTGAGAATTTTAAAATGAATTGAAAAATGAGAATTTTAAACAGCAGGGTTTAAGAGATTAAAGTTAAATTGCTTTTCTTTTTTTTTTTTTGCCTGTCCCGTTTGGTTCTTTTGCCATCAGAATTATTGTCTAAAGGCAAAGAAAGATGCCCAACAAATTTACTTTACCAAATGGACCATCCCGGCCTTGCCGTATTGGTCTATTTGATTCACCTTTGTTTTTATTGTTTATTTTATTTTCACTTACTACACATGGGACAGACATGACTGGGGGAAAGAAAAGGGAGAAAGAAAGAGGTAGGGAAAGAAAAACAGCGGGGAAGAGGAACAGTGATAAAGGGCAAAAAACAAAAACTAACAGACAAACAGACAAAAAAATACATATATCAATCACCTGGATCACCTGTTGAGAAAGAAAAAGAGAAAACAGGCAAAACGAAAGAGAGCAATATAATAAACAACATCATCATGATAATCTATGTGAATATAACAGTAAATACTAAATATTGAATATTATTGTGCAGCACGTAGGATCGACAGCGCACAGTGTGCTTCGAGGTAGGAGCCAAAAAGGGTGCACTCGTATTTAAAAGGTTCCTTCATGTAATGATCTGCTAGAGGGTGTGGGGGGCCATAGCCCTGTCCTCCAGGGCATGAAGCAGGTATGGAGGAGATCCAGGCTCCAGACATCCAGAGAACAAGAGTCCAAGGAAGACCAACGGAGGGGCAACCATGCCCCTCTCCCGGAAAGAGCTGAGGAGAGCCCCAGATGAGGGGTCACT